TAAGAGACAAAGAGTGAACATTAGAACGAAAGAACGTAACCCTTTTTTCATAAAAAGATCTTTTATTTATAGGCATAGGAGATATTTGAAATATACAATTACATCCAACGATCCTTCTCTGAAGAGGGGGTACAAGGGTATTAAAGTCTTTCTTATAATTAAAGCTTAGAGATTCGACAATAGATTAGATTGATTGGCCGGGGAAACCTTTTGCCTTCCACATCAAGCCCGTTTGTTTGGTATTGGCGAGCCGTACAATGTGAGGACCGCCTAGGTGTTTCTTGATTTAGCATGTTATTTGTTCGACCGTGATCTTACTACAATCTTTTTCTTTTTTCTGACATAGGGCTTCTTCCTTCATTCGGCCTATTGTGTCGGTTGGACAATGTTTAGAGGTGGCTAAACTGATGAAGCCCAACCTTACAACTCCATTCTTTTGTTCCACCATTGATTTAAAATTGAATTACTCCTGTTGACCAGGTTTTCACGTCCTTTGACCCACATGATCCGAAAGATAGAGTTACTGAGAGAGAAGCTATAAGACGGATAACAAATCGGCGACACCACAACAACGACCCGACACGTCGATAACAACGGCATTGCTCGCACATGGCGATGGCTGGGGCGGCGCATCTGGCTAAAGTCACCATCTCATCAACTCTTGCACATCTCATGTACCTCTGAATAAATAAATAAATAAAGGAGATTAGAGTGCAACCAATTGTTCTTTTCCACCTCTAGATATCATCAAAGCTGATTCTTTGACAGCTTTTATGTTTTCCTTTGTAGCTATAAATTTGTTCTTCCAACATGATCTAGCCACCAAAATGTGTTCTCCTCTACCTAGATCCGCTTGTTTCAGATTAGATACATCCAACTTTGTCTCAATATTCTCTCTTTCAGCTAGATTTTATGTAAGATTTAGAAAAACTTTTTGGTGAAGGCAATAGCTTAATTGATGACCTATTGGGATGATGGTAGAGGGTTATGTAGCAAAATTAAAAGAAAGGATAATGGCGTTTTGGACAATTTTTATGCTGGAAGCTCTTGGTTTTTAAAAGAAAAATCTCATTTGGATGGAAATTCAGGAACAAGGAAGGTTTTTTTTTATGAATTTTGAATTTGAGATTGAAAATGGGTTTTGAAATATTATTACTCGCAATATTAAATTATCTTCGTATATTTTGTACAGATAAATCATCTGTGAAATGTTTTCAGCTTATGCTTCAGCTTATGAAACTCAACGAAAAATACTTCATCTATCTGTGAAATGTTATTTGAAAGAATGATTTAAATGCATACCGTTTAAATTATGAGCCAAAAATTAATTCTGTAAGAAATTGCTATATATATATATATATATATATATATAT